GCTGCCTTTCAAGGATGCCATCAGCGCCAAGCCCAACATGAGCCCTGGCAGTTATGGCGGGGATAAAACAGCACCTTTTAGTGGACTCCCCAGACCAAGATGAGCAAGGCTGAAGATGAGACAGCGCTCCAAGGCCCTGAACCGTTTCATCCAGGAAGGACATCTTACATCTAGTTGCGAATCCCACCCCCTTGCAAATCCAGCCTTTCAATAATTATGTTCCCAATTCACATCACTTATATGAATTCTCTCTCCCTCTCTCTCCCACACACAAGTCTGTTCTGTTACACAGCGTGTCACAATTCAGATATCACACCAAACCAAGGTTAAGAAAGCTAACACAGTGCCATGTAGAGTGCGATGTCCGTATTGACAAACCAAGGTTTCCAGGTGACCAGCAAACCAGAATTGGAAACCGCGGTTGGAAGGGAATTTGCAAGCCACGGTTGGTCTATGTTTGGGGGGTGAATTGACAAACCGCCCCAGCAGCTGCTGTTCCACCTTTGGAGCACAACGCGCCTTAGAGACTGAGCAGGCAAAGCCAAAGCAGAGGGGGGGGCCTCCCAAGGGGGAGCCCCCTCCTCTTCCAACAAACCTTTTGAGATCTTTCCTAGTCTGCATCTGTATTGGAACTGCTTTAAATATGTTTCTGAAACGTACATCGCTTGCTGCCCTGGGGGCCTTTGGAAGAAGGGCAGCGTATAAATTTAAGAACAAATAGGTAAGTAATAAACCGTGTTTGGGAGCTCAAACTCGGGTTTGGCTTGATGTATATAAACTGAGTCAGTAAGCTTCAAGACGGGTATGATCTTTTGCTGGAATCCAATACAGTGGTACCTCGGGTTACATACGCTTCAGGTTACAGACTCCGCTAACCCAGAAATAGTACCTCGGGTTAAGAACTTTGCTTCAGGATGAGAACAGAAATTGTGTGGCGGCGGCACAGCAGCAGCAGGAGGCCCCATTAGCTAAAGTGGTGCTTCAGGTTAAGAACAGTTTCAGGTTAAGAACAGACCTCCCGAACGAATTAAGTACTTAACCTGAGGTACCACTGTAAAAAGATCTATCTATCTATCTATCATCTTTTTGACCATTGACTAATCCCAGCAGGACCTGAGATGGTCGCAGCATCTCTCTGGGTTCTTTGTCCCGCCTCTCACTGGTCCCAAGCACAGAGAGGTCCATGTTTTCACACAACCAACAGACCTGGGAGGACCCCCACAGCTCCTGCCTCTCACAATCTTGCAAACACAGACACAAAACCAGAATCCTGCGCGCAATTGCCTTTTTTATTCGTATGACTAGAGTTCTACTCCACCTTTTCTCCAAGGAGTTCAAGGAGGCATAAACATTTCTCCATTTTTATCTTCACAACCACCCTGTGAGGTAGGTCAGGCTACTGGCCCAAGGTTGCCCAGTGGGCTTTATGGCCCTGTGGAGATTTGAACCCTGGTCTCCCCCAAGTTCTGGATTAATGTTTGACCACTACATCAGGCTGGCTGAACTCAGTGTGCAAGCTTTGCAGAGGGTTGGACTAGATGACCCTCGGTGTCCCTTCCAACTCTGCAATTCTGTGACTCTATGACGTGGATAGGATTTTGCTATAAACTGCAGAGGAAAATAAGATTAGGACGGCGGCAAAAGAGGCATTCGCACCCCAAAAAAACCTCGGAGGCAACTTGCTCCGGTTCTGCACTGCCACTTCCCCATGACCTAATTCAGAAGGGATGGAAGAGGGCAGGCTGCTCAACTGTTTCTTCCCACCACAGGGACAGAAGTCATTACCTCACGCCATCTGTGCTGAACAAAAGAGGAAGCGCCCCCTGACACAGCGGCGCCATCCTTGCCCACTGGAACTCCCTGCCACTAGACCCAGCGATGGGAAGCAGCTTGGCTGGAGCCCAAAGAGGGCTAATCAAATTCGTAAGAAGAGACCGCTAGATCTGGCCAGTGGGGGGGCCATCTTAGTCCAGCATCCTGTACACCTGTGGGATACCCGCAAGCTGAAACTCTCCCCTCCTGCGGTTTCCAGAAAGTGGAATTTGAAAGCAACTTGAGGAAGGGGAGAAATCTGTCTGTGTGTCACTCAGCACACAGAAGAGGCATCTGCCTGCACACCTCTGGCTTGTGGGCTTCCGGGAACCGTTTGGCCGGCTGCTGTGGGAAACAGATCCTTCACCTTGGAGGGGTTGGGGAATGAAAGCAGGGATATTTCCCAGCAGCTAACTGGCGCTGTGGGTTAAACCACAGAGCCTTAGGCTTGCCACTCAGAAGGTCCGCGGTTTCGAATCCCCGTGACGGGGTGAGCTCCCGTTGCTCAGTCCCTGTTCCTGCCAACCTAGCAGTTCGAAAGCACACCAGTGCAAGCAGATAAATGGGTACCGCTCTGGCGGGAAGGTAAACGGCATTTCCGTGCACTGCTCTGGTTCGCCAGAAAGTGGCTTAGTCCTGCTGGCCACATGACCAGGAAACTGCGGACAAACGCGGGTCTCCTCGGCCAATAAAGCGAGATGAGTGCCGCAACCCCAGAGCTGGCCACGACTGGACCTAATGGTCAGGGGTCCCTTTACCTTTTTAACTTCACACTGGACAACAATGCTAGCCCTGGAAATCATTTCAGCAGCCAGCCAGCTAGCCAGGGAGGCTGCGAGAGCAAAACACGCTCCACAGCCTCTGCTGACTCACCTCTTCCAAGGGGGAGGGAGATCTTCTTCCCTCCCCCACAGCCCACCCCCAGCCCTCCTGCCCACCAAGCAGCACTTGTGCCAAGCGAGGGTGCGGGTGGCAGGGATTTGCGGGTGACAGGAGGGCCTCCCGCACTCCAAATGGCAGAAGCGTTGCTGGGGGGGAGGGAGGAAGAGTGGGAGAAGAAGTAGTCAGCCATCGACAGCACATTTGCAGAACGGCGGCGTGAGGAAGCTATGCAAAGCGGCACAGGAAGAGAGAGCAAGGCTGGCGCATGCAAAGGAAGGCTCCCCGTCTTGACCCCCCCCCGCAGGCTGTCACTGCCACAAGTGTCACAGGCTGGAAACCAGAAGACGCCCCCCCAACTTGGCTGAAGCAGTTGCTGACACCACCGCCACCTTCGTCCCCAAAGAACAAGAGACCAGGGTGGTTCTAGTGTCAGAAAAACATTCTTAACTCATGGTGTGTTCCTTGTAACAAAAAGGAAGGATTCGGCTGAAGGCGGCCCGCTGTGTAAGCTGCCTTTGAAATGCTCGAGGGCAAGGCAGATGCCACGGCTACCCGCTTAGGAATGGCAGCAAAGGGCAGGAAGGGTCTTTTCTTTCAACCACCACCCCCCATATCGCAAAGATCTGCCAAGCAAGGGCTGGGCTTCCGCAAGGACCAGAGATTCTCCGGAGATACCGTCAGATACGCCCATTTCCTTCACCAGAAACCTCGCCCTCAAGGTGAAGGAAGTCGCCTGCCCTGGCAGGCACACTCAAACGCACTCGCTAAAAAGTCTTTCTGCCAACTTCACTGGGGTGCTAAGGCAGGAACAGGGGGCTGTGGCCCTCAGATGATGGCGCACTACAACTTTCGGCATCACCTGTCACCCACGCTGCCGGAGGCGGAAGGGAGCCGGGGTCCTACGTGTGGAGGGCCACAATTTCCTCCATCCCCAGGGTAGAATCATGGAGTTGCAAGGGACCCTCAAAGGTCCTCTAGCCCAACCCGCTGCAAGGCAGGAATCTCAACTCAGGCATCCAGCCCAACCCCACACTATTGCCAGTCCTGGAGGCTACAGTTCCCAGAAGCTGCCACTTGACTTTGGGCGCCTGGTGCCCCTGTTATTTCAGCTGTAGTGACCCTCTTGTTTTATGGGGTGGGAATTTTTCATGGGTAGAGTTCAGGTCTGGCTCCTGGGCAAAAGTGATGGACGGCACAGCGACACAAGAAGGCAGGCTCCCAGCTCCCCTCGACTTGGGGGCCCCATTCCAGCCCTTGCACCGCCTCTTCACTCACACACAGGCAGGCGGGAGAGATGGGGTTCACCTGCCCACAGGACCTGGGCATCTTCTCCGAGTGCAAGATTCTGCCACATCGCTCAACAACCACCCCAAACACCACTCGGCGTTCCAAAACACAGCTGCAACCAAAGTAGAGAACAATGGAAAGCCTTTGGAACTCCCCGCCACAAGAGTGCCGTTTGAGTATCACCGGGAGAAGGGCGGGGAAATCCTGGTACTGAAAGAGCAGCGGAGTTGATGCGAGGACAAGATCCAAAAGCACCCCAGGGTGCAGCTGGCCTCAGCAAGTGACTGGACCGGGGCAGGAGGGCCCAACTCCGACTCCTTGCCTAGCCCATTCTCACCTTGGCCTAGCTTGCAGGGAAGTTGTGTGAATAAAGAGGAGGCGCTTGGGGAATCTGGATCTAGAAGCCCCCTTGGGGGGCAGTCAATCCCTCTCAGCCTAGCCTACCGCACAAGGTTGTTGTGGGGATTAAATGAGGGCAAAACCTGGGTTCGAATCCTCCACTCAGCACCTATGAAGCTCCCTGGGTGACCCTGGGCGCCAGTGGCTGCCTCTCAGCCTAAGGTTCTCAACCTGTGGGTCCCCAGATGCCGTTGGACTACAACTCCCATCATCCCTGAGCTCTGGCCTTGCTAGCTAGGGGTGATGGGAGTTGTAGTCCCACAACATCTGGGGACCCACAGGTTGAGAAAGGCCGGAACCGACCTCGCAGGGTTGTTGTGGGGGGGGGGACTAAATTACCATGGGGAGGAACCATGCACAGAACTTGGAGGGGGGGGAAGATGCAATACCAGCACAATACAATCAATCGATAATCTCGAAAGTGGGTGTTTGGGGAGGGCGTGGCCAAAAGAGGGGAGTGGCCAGAAAGATGAAGACCCCTAAGGGAGGGGGGAGTTTCTCCACCTGTGGGCGTGGCCAAGGGTTGGTTGCTGGGAAACGAGGTGGGAAAGGGGGGGAGCGGGAAGGGGAGGAGCCAAGGGGCGGGGTCAAGGGGGAGTGGGCGTGGCCGGTCTGCTCACCCGCCTGCGTGGTGTCGCTGAGGTCCCAGCGCCGGGCTGCTCCTCCGGGGAAGTGTCTGAGGCGCCGCCCGGCCAGGCTCAGGCTGCCCGAAGCCGCCGCTTCCTCCAAGGCCCGCTCGGGCCCAGGGAGCGGGCCGGGCCAGGAGGGGGAGGGCGGGGGCAGCGCGTCGGCCCCGCCCTCGCCCGCCGCCATCCCGCAGGCTCCGCTGTGCTCGCTGAGGCAGCCGCTGGCCGACTGAGAGCTCGCGGGCAGGAGCGGCGAGACCCCAGCCAAAGGGGGCGGGTCCCGAGCCGCCGCCTCGGCCTATGAGGAGCCGGCCACGCGGGGAGCCGCCAATCGCGGCGCGTCGGGCGGGGCGCAGCCGAAGCAGGCAACCAATGGCGTGGAAACGGGCCGTCGGGTTCTTCCTCCTTTCGCTCCAATCAAGGGCGCGGGCGGAGGAAGACGTGAGGGGGCGGCTGTTGGCCAATGAGAGATCCGTGAAGGGCGCTGACTACCGCTTCGGCCAATCCCTTACCAAGGAGGCGGTTCCTAAGGCCACCACCCCCGGACTGAATGCGCTCCGTGATTTTGCCTCGCGCCTGCCGCAGCCAATGGGATTCATAGAGGCAGGGCGTCAAACTATTGACCAATCATTGCGCAAGCAACGTGAGTCCGGGCTTATCACAGCGCTCGGAAGGAGAGATAGAGAAGGGCGACCAATCAGGAAAGTGGCCACGCCCACCCGTAGTTTTGGCGCCAACAGTTGAAAGACTGAGGCGGCGTGAGGTGACTGAGGCGGGGCAGGTCCTTTGACGGCCTTGAGGGTAACAAGAGGGCGAAGAGTGGCAGCGAGGCGGACCAATCAGCAATGTCCCTCTGGGAGGGTGGGTGCTGGGCGTCTGAGGGAATAAGACGGAGGCCAATCAGATTCAGTCTCACCCCAGCAGAGGCGGGCACTTAAAGTTTGAATGGCAACGCTACTAACCAATCTGCACTAGGAAAAGGCGGGACGCCTTCTGACTGGCATGCCGTTCTCCCAACGGGATGCCGGTCTGGTGTGGGGGAAGAGAAGGGCGGGAAGCCCTCAGTGAATTACGGCCTGTCTCCCTTCTCTGGGCATGTGCAGAGTGCCTCCCTGTCCAATGATGTGAAGAAAGGGAGGCGCATCTAACAGCCCAACTCCTTTGAAGCCTAGAAGGAAACGCCTCTGGGCATGTGCAGAGTGCTGATGAACCTCAATGCAGCTGGGGGGCCTTCTCAGATTTATTTTAATGCATTTCAGCGAGCTAAAGGTATATATATATGCACTTCATTATGAATCTGGGCTCATTATGAGTTGGTTGCCCTGAACTGTGTGCCTTGGCCAAGGTGGCGCCCGCCAGGCGCTTGGACTACAACTCCCACCAGCCAGGGACGTGCCGGCTGGGGGTGGCTGGGAGTTGTAGTTCCAAAGAGCAGAGCGCGCCTTGTGCCAAGGAGAGAGGCTCCCAGGCCACCCAGCAAGGAGACCCACCTTCATCTTTCGTGTATCGGATGCCCAGCAGGGAAGAGGAAGGAGGGATGCCTGGGTTGGGCGAAGATGCAGCCAGCCAGCCAGATATGGGGACGGAAGGGGCTGCCAGGATCCAGCCCCTGGTTTTCCAACCCTGGAAAGCTGAGATTTGCAACAGGGAGCCCGTTCCTCAGCCGGTGTTTTTCTCTGCGTTAAAAGCGACTTTAATAGCCCCTTCTATCTTATTGTTTCATGCTTTTTCTTGCTTGCAGGCAGGTTGGGACGGTGGCCGTCGCAAACGCAGGATCAGGCCCAAGTGGCCAGCATCCTGTTCAACCAGATGCCTCAATGGGGAAGCCCCCGAGCAGGATTCGAACGCAAGACAAGCCCTCTCCTGCAGTTTTCTGCAGCTGGTGTTCAGAAGTGCCTGGCCATCCTGGCTAGTAGCTATTGAGAGGCCTCTCCTCCCAACAAAGGTCCGTATAGTTCAAGCTCTCGTTTTCCCAGTAGTGATGTATGGAAGTGAGAGCTGGACCATAAAGAAGGCTGATGGCCGAAGAATGGATGCTTTTGAATTCTGGTGCTGGAGGAGACTCTTGAGAGTCCCCATGGACTGCAAGAAGATCAAACCTCTCCATTCTGAAGGAAATCAGCCCTGAGTGCTCACTGCAAGGACAGATCCTGAAGCTGAGGCTCCAATACTTTGGCCACCTCATGAGAAGAGAAGACTCCCTGGAAAAGACCCTGATGTTGGGAAAGATGGAGGGCACAAGGAGAAGGGGACGACGGAGGACGAGGTGGTGGGACAGTGTTCTCGAAGCTACCAGCATGAGTTTGACCAAACTGGGGGAGGCAGTGGAAGACAGGAGGGCCTGGCGTGCTCTGGTCCAGGGGGTCACGAAGAGGCAGACACGACTAAACGACTCAGCAACAGCAACATGCTGGACCTCGGCAGGTATAAAGAGAGAGGCGAGGAAATCTTCCCTTCCCTAACCTGGTGCCCTCCGGATATTTTGCAGGAAAACTCACGCACCGGCTGAGTTGCTGAAGGGCTGCAGTTGTGACACCTGCCAGCGAAAGGAGGCGTTGGGGAACTGGAGGACAGAGCGGGCTCTAGTGGGCCAAGGGCCTGGATGTCTGCCTTCTCTGGAATTGAGAGTGGAGACTTGTGGGTTATTAGAACTAGGGGGCAAGATCTAGAATTCCCGAGTCCTCTGGAAGGGCAGGCTAGAAGCTCTTGACGCCAAGGTGCGCTTGGAGGGTGGAACAGCCAGCTGGCAGCATCAAACTTTGCATTTAGCCGCAATGTGTGTTTCTATGGTACGTTTAATCACTTTGGGCAGCTGTAAAAACATGGGCATTACTTAAGGCAGCCTTCCCCCAACCTAGTGCCCTCCAGACATTTTTGGACTACAATCCCCAACGGCCTCAGATGGCTCAACCGTACGGTGCTGGAGCTCTTGGGAGTTGTATTTCGAAATATCCAGAATGCACCAGGCATTGAGGGAAGGCTGGCCCAACCCTCCCAATACCTCTGCCTAGTCCTTCTACTCTCAGAATAAGTAGAATCAGAAGCAACTACGAGAGTAAAGCCAAACATTTCCCCTATATGCATTCAGAAGCTACTGACAACACCTCTCTTGGGTATCAGCTAGTTCTGGATGTTGCAAATGGAAAGTAGGAGAAAGGACAGAACTGATACTGACCAATCCACCCTTTGTCACTCACCCCTTTCTGGGTGCATCGACGAAGCATCTCATTTAACATATATTAACAATGAGAGATGTCGCTATGACTCCAAGGAGAGAAAGTACCGGCCTTAACCCCCATAACTCGCTGCCCCTTAGCGGAGGAGCAGAACAGACTGTGGAGTGCTGGTACAAATCAGAGCTGTTAGCACGATCCCGGCCCTTCGGTGCACGCCTTGCCTGGTCTTTAATCCCAGGACCCGGTGGTACCTTGTGCACAGGTCATAAAGACAGTCCCAGATAGGTGCTGATGTCACAGTGCCCCAGTTACCAGGGGAACCCCTGTCTCTGTGAAGCCATCAGGACGGCCATTATCACATAGTGCCATGTCCCCCGGGGTGATTCACCTTGTGGGCAGAGGCATTCATAAGCCTTGGCCATGCTGGGCCCAGCAACAAGGGTGGGTCTGAGAGCTCACACCCACCGCGCAAGCGATGGCTGGGCGGGCAGACATGAGCGACAGGCGCATCGTCCGAAAATTCAGAAGGAGAAAGCTCCAGCGCTTCTCCCACATCTCTAGCATTGAGGAACCGCTTGGAGTGAGCATGCTATATTTTGGCTGCAGGGCAGGGCAAGACACCTGTGTGGGATTTTTCCAAGAGTGGGAGGAGGAGGAAATGGTTCAGCGGAGCGGGGAGCTTTTCCCTTTCAGTTGACAGAATTGGGGATGCTGCTTCTTCCATTGCTTGATTGCACGTGCAAATTAATTTAAAATAAACTGTCTAGCCAAATCGGTAACCAAGCTACACAATATTTTCTTCAAACTTGGGAGAAATCCGCACAAGCTGACTACTTTGACAAGTCAGCGCTGTGACTCACCACGTTCTGAAAAATCAATGAAAAGTGGGTTGGAAAGGATTTGTCACACACAAAAACAAACAAAAAAAAAACCTTCAACCCAGAAGAGTATTGTGGCAATTAATTACGGCGTAAGCTTTCATGGACTACTACAGAGTGCAAGTCACACTCTGGTCATGGCTGTGTCCCCAAGTCCAGGTCCAACGCAGCAAAGCAACTGCACGAAAACTTTGTGTTGCCTTTGCTATGTGAAAGAAGTGTCACATAAGTTGTTTCTAATGGGACAAAATAGCTTTTCAGCATCAAATCTTATCTTCAAGGGAGGGAGAAAAATCCCAGCTAGATGTTGATTTCTAACACAGGGTTCTGATGCCTCCTGGTGTGCAACCAGGGAAATGCACTTGCAAGGCTGCTTGCTATCTCCTGAGGCACTGCTGCTAACGTTCCTATTCCATCCGCAAGGCAGATATAAATTATTATGAAACTGGTTTCACCTTGGTTGAATGAATCATAGTTTCCCTTGAAGTGCCCTGGGCAATTATGGTTTTGGGCCAGTGCTGAGAATGCTTTGGCAGAGATTGTGAGTCAGTCCGCTCTTGGAATGCAAGACATGATATGACAGAGGAAGCCCCTGGACCAGACAGGAGCTTGTCACTCTTTTCTGTGGGTGTGACAGCCAGAAATTCAACCGGGGGAGACATTTTTCTGACACTATGCCCATGTAGTGATGGGGAATCTACACCTTGTGAAATTCTGCTGTGCAGTTTTTAAAGGCAAGGGATTCCTAGGGATAGCAAAACCTTTCTGCTTTGAATCTAAGCCCTGAAAGAGAAAAAAAGGATGACTCCTGGCTGCTCACACCATTGCCTCCCTCTCCATCCTCCTTCCTCTCCCCTCAGCAGCCCAAGAAGAAGCGGCGCAGCTCATCCACTGAGACCACAGAAGATAAGAAGGGCAGAGGAGATTCCATCTCTATCCAGGTCTTCCCTCCAGAACTGGTGAGTGAGGCTGCCTGGCTGTGGTTTAGGAGGTGGGGACAGCAAGATCATAAAAAGAGCCTGCTGGATCAGGCCAATGGCCCACCTGGTCCAGCATCCTGTTCTCACAGTGGCCAACCAGATGGCCTTTATGAGAAACCCGCTAGCCAGACCTAAGCACAAGAGCAACTCCTCCCCTCCTGCGACCCTATCTGCCCGAAGACTGTCTCGCCAGAGTGGTGCATGCTCTGGTTATCTCGGGCTTGGACTACTGCAATGCTCTCTATGTGGGGCTACCTTTGAAGGTGAGCCGGAAACTACAACTAATCCAGAATGTGGCAGCTAGACTGGTGACTGGGAGCAGCCGCCGAGACCATATAACACCGGTCTTGAAAGACATTGGCTCCCAGTACGTTTCCGAGCACAATTCAAAGTGTTGGTGCTGAACCTTAAAGCCCTAAACGGCCTCAAGGCCCAGTATACCTGAAGGAGCATCTCCATCCCCATTGTTCTACCCGGACACTGAGGTCCAGCGCCGAGGGTCTTCTGGCGGTTCCCTCATTGTGAGAAGCCAAATTACAGGGAACCAGGCAGAGGGCCTTCTCGGTGGTGGCACCCGCCCTGTGGAACGCCCTCCCACCAGATGTCAAAGAGAACAACAACTACCAGACTTTTAAAGGCAGCCCTGTTTAGGGAAGCTTTTAATGTTTGTTGCATTACTGTATTTTAATATTGTCTTGGAAGCCGCCCAGAGTGGCTGGGGAAACCCAGCCAGGTGGGCGGGGTATAAATAATAAACTATTATTATTACAAGTTATTATTTTCCAGCAACTGGAATTTGGAAGCATCGCTGTCTCCGACTGTGGAGGCAGGGCAGAGCGAACAGCACACTAGTTCAGCGAAGTGTTTGTGTGTGTGAGACGCTCCCTGCGCTCACCTTGACTTGAGTCCCTCCTTCTCTCCAGCTGTACTACATTATCTCCTTCCTGCCTGTCAAGGATGTGGTGGCTCTGGGCCAGACCTGCCGGTACTTCTATGAGGTGTGCGACAGTGAGGGGGTCTGGCAGAGGATCTGCCGCCGCCTTTCTCCTCGCCTGCGGGACGAGAACTCTGGTGGCAGCCGGCCGTGGAAGAGATCGGCCATACTCAACTGTCAGTATACCTCAGTGGTGAAGCAGAGGGGGCGGGAGGAAGGGTGTGGTTTTTTTTGCTGGAGGAGAAAAAGCTCTACATCTGCCTGGGCTGGGGGGAGCTGAAGAGGGTTGGCCGATCCCGCAAAAGGGGATCCCACCCTGCCCCCCATTCCCCAGGGAAGGGAGCGGTGTAGCAGCTCCTTCAGACAGACCCACTCCCTCTGCCCCTGGGGGGGTCTCTCTGTCCCGCAGACACCAAGGGCTTGTACTTCCAGATGTTCAGCGGCCGCCGGCACTTTGTCAGCAAGACGGTTGCCCCGCTGCTCTCGCACGGCTACCGGAAGTTCTTGCCCACCAAGGACCACGTCTTCATCCTGGACTACAACGGCACCCTCTTCTTCCTCAAGAACGCCCTGGTCTCCTCCACCATGGGCCACATCCAGTGGCGCCGCGCCTGCCGCTACATGGTACTCTGCCGCAGTGCCAAGGACGTAGGTGCCCGGGAGAGGAGTGAAACCCTGCGGTGTGGGGGCGGGCTGTCTGTCCCCACTGCTTCCCAGAGGCCGGAGCAGGGCAGGACAGGCCAGAGCCATGGCCTGGCATCAGAGCTGTGGACAGAATGCAGCCCCTTAGCCCCTACCCATCTTAGAGGGAGCTGCAGCGGGTGGGGTTCAGAAAATGATTAATGCTATACTGGAGGAAGAGAAAGGTGCCATCTTCCTTGAAGGAGACAGTGGTGGGCCAAATGCGGGCCAATAAAATTAAATCATGAAAAGGTGGAGGTGTTATGTTTTCAAGTCCTGGAGGTCTATAGCATGGGGTGCTCCTGGACACAAGTCTGTCACTGAAAGCTCAGGTGGCTAGGAGAGCCAGCGTGGTGTAGTGGTTAGGAGCAGTAGACTCGTAATCTGGTGAACCAGGTTCGCATCTCTGCTCCTCTGCATGCAGCTGCTGGGTGACCTTGGGCCAGTCACACTTCTCTGAAGTCTCTCAGCCCCACTCACCTCACAGAGTGTTTGTTGTGGGGGAGGAAGGGAAAGGAGAATGTTAGCCGCTTTGAGACTCCTTAGGGTAGTGAGAAAGCGGGATATCAAATCCAAACTCCTCCTCCTCTTCTTCTTCTTCTTCTTCTTCTTCTTCTTCTTCTTCTTCTTCTTCTTCTATGTGAGTTCCACACTCTGGACACTTCCAGACCCTTTAGTACCTCCCTTTAGGGAAAGGCGTCCTGTGGCACCTTAGTTTCTTTCACCAGAAGCCAGTTGCCCCAGGGCTCTTTGTGAGAGGGGAGGGTCTTCTCTGCCACCTCTGAGTGCACAGCCCGGACTTCTTCCCCCTCTAGATCCCTGATCAGTTCCTGAAGCATCCCAGGATCTCCGGCCTCCTGACCCTGAGTGCCTCCTCCCTTCTCCTCCTTCTTCTGCCTGCAGTTTGCCACGGACCCCCGGAGCGACACTGTCTACCGCAAGTACCTGTACGTGCTGGCCACCCGCGAACAGCCGGTTACGGCAGCCGTGGGGCGCAGCAGCGAGGGCTCCAGCCCAGCCGGCAGCGGGCGCCTCTGCGACTGCGTGGAGGTCTACCTGCAATCCAGCGGGCAGCGGGTGTTCAAGATGACCTTCCACTTCTCCATGAAGTTCAAGCAGATTGTGCTGGTGGGGCAGGAGACGGAGAGGTCCCTCTTGCTCCTGACAGGTGAGCCCCTCTCCTTAGGAACAGCAAAGCAGGTCATGTGGCAAGAGTGGCTGCGGGGGGGGAGGAGGGAGGAGTATAAACACAGGAAATAGAATAATAGATGCCAAATAAAACAATACAGAAGTAGAGTAAAAGGGGATGTTGTTGTTGTTTAGTCATTTAGTCGTGTCCGCCTCTTTGTGGCCCCCTGGACCAGAGCACGCCAGGCAGTCCTGTCTTCCACTGCCTCCCGCAGTTCGGTCAGACTCATGCTGGTAGCTTTGAGAACACTGTCCCACCATCTCGTCCTCTGTCGTCCCCTTCTCCTTGTGCCCTCCATCTTTCCCAACATCAGGGTCTTTTCCAGGGAGTCTCTCTCTCAGGAGGTGGCCAAAGTCTTGGAGCCTCAGCTTCAGGATCTGTCCCTTCCAGTGAGCACTCAGGGCTGATCTCCTTCAGAGTGGAGAGATTTGATCTTCTTGCAATCCATGGGACTCTCCAAGAGTCTCTTCCAGCACCAGAATTCAAAAGCAGTAAAAGGGGATATCTGGAGCCAAATGTATAGAGAGAGAAATCCATACCAAAATCAAACGTAATAAATTAATATCGCAAAGTTCGAAGTAACACAAATGGGTTTACATTCTCTGGTACCTTATTACTCCAGTACATTAGGTTAAGACTCCATTTCTCAATGAATATATCATATTGTTGTCTACCCTCTCTGGTTCTTACCATGTACAGTCGTACCTTGCTTTTCGAACACCTTGTGACTCAAACATTTTGGCTCCCGAACGCACGCAAACCTGGAAGTGAGTGTTCCACTTTGCAAACGTTTTTTGGAAGCCGAACGTCTGGCGTGGCTTCCACAGCTTCCGTTTGAGTACAGGAAGCTCCTGCAGCCAACTGGAAGCCGTGCCTTGGTTTTCAAATGTTTTCGGAAGTCAAACGGACTTCCGGAATGGATTCTGTTCTAGAACCAAGGTATGACTGTATCTAAGCTTAACTATACATACCGCATCCCAGATTTTAGGTACCCATTCTCTCTTGGACTGTGTTCTCATTTTAATTCCAGCTTTGAGAAATAATAATTCTGGCAGCAGTTAACTGCTAACAGAGGCTGCAGTTTAACAAATGCTTCACATGCTGGGCCTCATTCTCACAGAGAGATTTGCTAAAGCAGCAGTTCCCAAACTATTTACAGTGGTACCTCAGGTTACATACGCTTCAGGTTACAGACTCCGCTAACCCAGAAATAGTACCTCAGGTTAAGAACTTTGTTTCAGGATGAGAACAGAAATCATGCTCCGGCGGCGTGGCAGCAGCAGGAGGCCCCATTAGCTAAACTGGTGCTTCAGGTTAAGAACAGTTTGAGGTTAAGAACTGACCTCTGGAACGAATTAAGTACTTAACCCGAGGTACCACTGTAGCAAAACAAATGAACTTGATCCAGTGATGGTACCACTCTATTCTGCCTTGGTCAGAATGGACTACACCTGGAATGTTGCGTTCAGATTAAGGAGGATGTTGACAAGCTGGAAGGTGCCCAGAGGAGGGTGACCAAGATGACCAGGGGTCTGGAAACCCAGCCTGATGAGGAACGGTTGAGGCAGTTGGGGATGTTTAGCTTGAGGAAGAGGGGACTGAGAGGAGGCGTGATAGTCATCTTCAGATATCTGAAGGGCTGTCACATGGAAGAGGGAGCAAGCTTGTTTTTCTCCTGCTCTGGAGGGAGGACTCGAACCCGTGTCTTCGAGTTGCAAGGAAGGAGATTCTGACTAAACATCAGGAAGGACTTTCTGACAGTAAAAGCCGTTCAGCAGTGCAACAGATTCTCTCAGAGGTGGCAGGCTCTCCTTCCTTGGAGGTTTTTAAGCAGAGGTTGGGTGCTTTACCTGAGAGTCCTGCATTGCAGGGGGTTGGGCTAGATGACCCTCAGGGTCATCTGTGGATGGGCTTGATGAAGTGATGCTGTTTTCCCAATGTCTGGTTTAAAGTTGCTTAGCAGGAGTCTTAAAGCCCTATACGGCCTTTAAAGCTCTATACGGCCTAGGAACCCTCGTCCCTACGGGACCGCCTCTCCTGGTATGTCCCACAGAGGACCTTATGATCTTCAAACAAAACATCTTGGAGGTCCCAGGCCACAGAGAGGTTAGGATGGCCTCAACCAGAGCCAGGGCTTTTTTGGCTGTGGCCCCGATCTGCTGGAACGCTCTGTCCCAAGAGACTAGGGCCCTGTGGGACTTGACATCTTTCTGCAGGGCCTGCAAGGCAGAGCTGTTCCACCAGGCCTTTGGCAATCCCTCACAGAACTCTAGCCCAGTGGTTGCCTTTATTTTGATTCTGAATTGATTTTAGAATGCTGCGCTACCTTTATTGTTGTTAGCCACTCTGAGCCTGGCTTCGGCTGGAGACGACGGGATATACATTATTATTATTATTATTATTATTATTATTATTATTATTATTATTATTATTAAATCTGGAGTCCTGGAGAGAAGTTGGAGGTCCACATTAAAGCCACGTTCCACCAAATACGCTGCTGGAAATGCAACAAGGACCTTCTTAATCCCTGTCCCTAGTACAGGAAAGCAATCAGAAATAGCTTTGGAAGCCATAAGGGAAGTGAAACGTTAAATACAAAACAAGGAAGGTGTTTTGCTCTAGGCTCTGGCCTAGTCAGTTGTAAATAAATGATCAATGTTGTGGTGAATACGTGTGCTCCTTTAATTAATAATAATAATAATAATAAATTATTTATATTCTGCCCTCCCCAGCTGAAGTTGGGCTCAGAGCGGCTAACAACAATAAAAGTAACACAGCATTCTAAAATCAATTCATTCTAAAATCGATTCAAAATCAAACCAATGGCAACCATTGGGCTAGAGTTCTGTGAGGATTACCAAAGGAGGGGGTCAGGCTGTGCCCTGGCCAAAGGCCTGGTGGAACAGCTCCGTCTTGCAGGCCCTGCGGAAAGATGTCAAGTCCCGCAGGGCCCTGGTCTCTTGTGACAGAGCGTTCCACCAGATCAGGGCCACAGCCAAAAAAGCCCTGGCCCTGGTCGAGGTCAGTCTAACCTCCCTGTGGCCCGGGACCTCCAAGATGTTTTTGTTTGAAGACCGGGCATACCGGGAGAGGCGGTCCCGTAGGTACAAGGGTCCTAGGCCGCATAGGGCTTTGCGTGTGTGGAGGCAAGCGAATTCCACAGTCACTTTTTGTGGGGTGTTTTGTTTCCCCCACAGAGGAAGGGAAGATCTACAGTTTGGTGGTGAACGAGACCCAGCTGGACCAGCCGCGCTCCTACACTGTGCAGCTGGCTCTGCGCAAAGTCTCCAAGTGCCTCCCTCACATCTCTGTCCGCAACATGCACTCCAACCAGAGCAGCGCCGTCTACCTCACAGGTAAGCAGAAGGTGCCCTCCAGCCAGGCCAGTCTCTGCCCAGAGGCTGCCACAACCAATAGGGTCCAGAAACCAAGCCTTCTTATTATTATTATTTATTACTTATGGCGAACGGTTGAGGGACCTGGGCATGTTTCACCTGGAGAGGACAAGAACCGAGAGGGGACAGGAGAGCTGCCTTTAGGTATCTGAAGCGTTGTCACACAGAAGACGGAGCAAGCTTGTTTTCTGCTGCTCCAGAGGGAAGAACCTGGGCCAACAGATCCCAACATGACAAGAAAGGAAATTCCAGCTATTGAAGCTATTTGACAGTGGGGCAGATTGCCTTGGAGCCGGGTGGACTCTCCTTCCTTGGAGGTTTTCAAGCAGAGGTTGGGTGGCTTCCTGTCAGGGATTCTTGAGCTGCAATTCCCGCATTGCAGGGGGGTTGGACTAGATGACCCTACAGTGGGCTGTGCATGCTCCTCAACCTTGTGTCACTGCTGTCACTATTGGCCATTCCTCTGTTTTCATGAAGACACCAGGAATCACACATGGCAATGTGGTCTGCCCCTGAGAGGGCGTACAGGTGATATCAGGAAGCCCAAACTGAGCTGAGAGAAGGCTGAGAAGTGGGGGTTTGGGGGGGCTGTTATTGGTATAGGGACGTGGGTGGCGCTGTGGGTTAAACCACAGAGCCTAGGACTTGCTGATCAGAAGGTCGGCGGTTCGAATCCCTGCAACGGGGTTGAGCTCCCGTTGCTCGGTCCCTGCTCCTGCCAACCCAGCAGTTCGAAAGCATGTCAAAGTGCAAGTAGATAAATAGGTACCACTCCAGTGGGAAGGTAAACGACATTTCCATGCGCTGCTCTGGTTCGCCAGAAGCGGCTTAGTCCTGCTGGCCACGTGACCCGGAAGCTGTACGCCGGCTCCCTCGGCCAATAAAGCGAGATGAGCTCCGCAACCCCAGAGTTGGCCACGACTGGACCTAATGGTCAGGGGTCCCTTTACCTTGACCTAGGTGGAACCACCTGAGGTGCCAGCGGAAGGAACCGGGGGTGGGGAGGCTTTGGTTGGAGAAGGAGGGAGGCCTTACCAGTTATTAGTTCCAGTAGCCCCTATTTCAGCACTGAGAAGGGGAAGCTGCATCAGAGGCAGCTTAGGAGAAGGACCATGGATGAGAGTGGGAGAAGGCGGCAGTGGGGTGATAAGAGCCAAGTCTGCCTGAGTAAGTGGGGCTCAAGAGGAGAGTAGCAGGAGGGCACCGTCCTGAAAGCCAGGAGCAGGAGCTTGAACCCAGTGCAAAATGCCACGGGCAGCCACTGCAGTGGGGAGCCCTCCACCCTCACAACCCAGACCTCCTTGCCTGGGATAGTTGGATTCTGCTCAGGGGGAGCCCTTCTGCCTCTGTGCAGGGCCAGGGTTTGGCCAGCAACGATCTTGCGTCTCCTCCACAGACGAGGGCACCGTCTACTTTGAGGTCCACTCGCCCGGTGTTTACCGCGACCTCTTTGGCACCCTCCATGCGTTCGACCCGCTGGATCAGCAGATGCCCCTGGCTCTCTCCCTCCCGGCTAAGGTAACCCAGAGGTGGGGCTCTCTCCTGCTCCCCGCCCTCCCCTCTTCCACCAGGGGAGGACTTACTCGTCTTCTTCTTCTTAGTGACTTAACAACCATCCAAACAGACAGACAGAAAAAAAGCCCCCCTAGATTCAGTTGCACGCCACCCTAATCTCTGAGCGGTGCGAGATTCCAGGGGTTCCCAGTGCTTACCCAGGGTCTGTGTTTCCCTTTGGAAACGAGGCACAGCGGAGACTGCGGTGTCTTTAGGATATATGGTTTATTTAGAAATATGTATATGAACCTACGATGGAGGGCTTCACAGCAAGAGGGTCTTGTAGCCAATGACATTGGATTCAAGCAGACGTCAGGCCTTGATCTCAAAAGCTGCTCTGACTCGCCTGCTTGCTGCTTTGTCTCTCTGCCACATGACTCTACGCTTCCCACATTGCTTCCCACCTCTCTCCACTAAGCTCTGGTTTCATCTGCTGAGGGAGAGAGCCCTCACCCATTTGCCATCTCAAACGGACTCCTTTCAATCCTTTTGTTCTCTTAATGGCCCATCGCCCAGGCCTTCCCTCAACACAGGAGGAGAGCCTGGCTCAATTAGCTGTTAGCACAGGCTGGTTCAAGTAATTAGAAGTGTCTGGCATGCGGCTTAACGCCCCAAGTCTTAAAGGAGTCTGACACTTGCTGGGTCCAGAGATGAAAGTGGTCTGACACCAACAAACAAATCTTCACCTGGTGCCAAAACCACAGAAGGAGAAAGTGTTATTGTGCTCAGGTCCTGATTGCGGCTTTCCCATTGAAGCATCTGGTTGGCCACTGTGAGAACAGGAGGCTGGATTAGGCAGGCCAGTGGTCTGATGCAGCAGGCCCTTCTTAGGCTCCCAGGGAGAGGGAACTGCACTCTGCATGTGCTCAGGAGCACCGATTGATGAATACCATGTGTTTCAAGGAGCACTGGTGACAAGATTCAGGCTGAATATGATGGGAGTCCTACTTGAGATTAAGCCTCGTGTCCTCGCTCAGGCCTTAGGTGTGGGTCAGACTCTCTCCCTTCCCCTCTCCCGCTTTGTGGCAGGTCCTCAGCTGTGCCCTTGGCTACAACCACCTGGGGCTAGTGGACGAGTTTGGGCGGATCTTCATGCAAGGAAATAACCGCTATGGCCAGCTAGGCACAGGCGACAAGATAGACCGCGGGGAGCCTGCCCAGGTGAGAGGGGAGCAGACCATCCTTCCTGGGGTGGGGGTGGGGACCCTCAGAGCTCCAGGAAGCACCTGAACCCTTGCAATGTCCTCGTGGCCGTTACTAATTTGGGTCACCTGGCATTTTGGTCTGGGCAGAACCACCTTTATGGGCCGTGTCAAGCTCAAATCAGGCATTGTGACACAGAGTAGAAAAGGCTGTCCCTTTTCAGCCTTGAGTCCCCGTCATGGGAGGTTTCTGGTGACCACCTGCCAGGGATTGTCTAGCTGGGATTCCTGCACTGCAAGGAGTCGGGCTAGATAGCACTTGGGGGTCTCTGCAATTCTGTGGTTCTACGCCCATTTCACCTGAGCCTCTGCCAGCAACAGGAAACCTCCCTCCAGCAATCATGGTGGCTGTGAATCCTCAGCCATGCTCTGATGCTGCTGTGCTCCCTGTTGCAGGTGCATTACCTCAAGTGCCCCATCGACCTCTGCTGTGGCCTCAACCACACACTGGTGCTGAGCCAGAGTGGAGACTTCAGCAAGGACCTGATGGGCTGCGGCTGCGGAGCTGGAGGGCGCCTGCCCGGGTGGCCCAAAGGCAGCGCCTCTTTCGTCCGGCTGCACACCAAGGTGAGGGGGAAGGAGGTGGGATGAGGCCTGTTACGGCTAAATCTGGGTGCGGGGCTACTCTGCCACCCAGCTCGTCGGACTAAGTGTCCGCGGGTCCCTGCGGAAGAAAATGAGCTCAGCCAGACAGGAGCAAACTGCAGAAGATCCAAGTTTATTGCGTAACAGGTTCAAGACGAGATTGAACAGCGAAAAAGGGGTGACATGAACTTTTGAAACTCCCTCCATGTCCCAGAATACAGTGCAAAATACATCCCAGTTACATCATGAATACATTAAGGAAAGGTTGGGTTACACAGATTACATCATGAATACATTAAGGAGAGGTTGGGTTACACTGGATTAACATATGGAGGAGGGAGGGGGGAATATGCAGAGAGCTGGAGATATGGAGGAGGGAGGGGGGAATATGCAGAGCTGGAGATATGGAGGAGGGAGGGGGGAATATGCAGAGAGCTGGAGATATGGAGGAGGGAGGGGGGAATATGCAGAGCTGGAGATATGCGCAGATAAGCACATCCTGAAGACAATGGTCCATGTATGCGTAGTCTGTCACCTGGCATTGCCAGGAGGAAAGGTTTGGCAGAGTGATTTTGACAGGATTAGGGTCTTGACACCTTACTTGAGAGATTATGGAGGACAGGGGAGGGGTGATGGAGTCCTAGAGAAATTGAGCAGGGGTGATGGAGTCCTAGAGAAATTGAGCAAATATTTGTAGTGAAGAAGACATGCCCCCCCCCTTCCGTAACAGGCCAAAGCGTGGGAAGTCAGGACCTGGGAGGTGGGCTGGGTGGGCTGCATAGCCCATGGGTGTCTGCTGTGAAGTCTAGTCATTCCCGGCCATCTCTCCTGCCCGCTTCCTGTGTTATCCTCCAATCTTTTCTCCGTAAGTGGGTATTTTAGTGCGGCAGCACCTACACTCTGGAACTCCCTGCCTCTTGACATCACTGTGCTGAGAACATTTTTGTTTAGACAAGCCCACCCAGACATGTAGAATGCCAGTTTATTTGCAGGATCCACAAAACTGCTTCAAAACCCTGAGTGTGGTTTTATCCCCTAATCCTCAGCGTCAGGGCTGGAGGGAGGGTCCCGACATACTCATGGCATCCTCCTGAGTGCAGAGGGTTGTGTGCTGCCTCCTGGACACTGTCCCCAACCCCATGAAAGACAAATCCATTGTGGAGGAGGAGAAGCCCTATGCGGCCTAGGACCCTCGTGTCTACGGGACCGCCTCTCCTGGTCTGCCCCGCGGAGGACCTTAAGGTCCACAAATGACAACATTTTGGAGGTTCTGAGCCTCAAGGAGGTTAGATTGGTCTCAAATTGGGGCAGGGCCTTTTCAGCACTGGCCCCGACTTGGTGGAACGCTCTGTCCCAAGAGACTAGGGCCCTGCGGGACTTGACATCTTTCCGCAGGACCTGCAAGACAGAGCTGTTCCGCCTGGCCTTTGGTTTGGACTCAGTCTGACCCTTATGTTTCCCTCCCCTTATGGTCTTGATTTATCAGCTACTCTAAAATGAGGCTGCCTTTAATATTGCATTTTAACCTGTATTTTAAATTGGGTTTTTTTATTTTCTTCCCCCACCCCCTCTTTCCCCCCTATTATGTTTTTACTGTGATTTTATTGGTGTTAGCCGCCCTGAGCCTGGATCTGGCCGGGGAGGGCGGGGTATAAATAAAAATTATTATTATTATTATTATTATTATTATTATTATTATTATTATTATTAAGGCTGCTAGCAAAGAGGGCTGTTTGTTCTGCCTCCGCAGTCAGAGGCAGCCATGCCTTTGAATTCCAGTCGCTGGGAACCCCAGGAGGGGAGAGGGCTCTTGGGTTCGGATGCTGCTTGCTCGTTTCCCACAGGCCTTTGGCTGGCCGCAGTGAGAACAGGACGCGGGCCTAGATGAACCATTGGCCTGATGCGGCAGGGCTCTCCTTACATCTGTCTCCCCCTCTCAGGTGCCGCCCTGCGCCCGCCGCATCTGCTCCACCCGCGAGTGCCTCTACATGCTGTCCAGCCACGACATTGAGGAGGTCCCCGCCTACCGCGAGCTGCCGGCCAGCAAGGCAGGGGTGGCGCCGAGCGACACGGAGGCCATGGCTGCCCGGGCGTGCGAGGAGTACCTGAGCCAGCTGCACAAGTGCCCGACGCTGGAGGGGCGCATGGCCAAGATGAAGGAAGCCGTCGGCAGCATGCCCCTCATGGCCTTCCAGAAGGACTTCTTCTGGGAGGCTCTGGACATGATCCAGCGGGCGGCGGAAATCCAGGAAGCCCCTGCGCCCAGCTAGCTGTCGCCGGCCGCGGCTCCCTCTCACCCTGCCCCTCCTGTCACCCCACCCCACCCGTTAGACGCATCATGGATCATGATTAACCGATAGAGAAGACTTCAGACTGAACAATTGGGCGTAAATAAAGCACAAGACCTAACGCAGCCTCCCCTGGACCGTGCTGGGGTAAGTGACGAAACGGCGGGGCTGGGGCGTCCTTGGAGGAGCCCGGAAGGGGCCGCACGCAATGCGCGGATGCAGAGGTGCGCATTGCCAACATCGTATGGTTCTTCAAATCTGTGGTGCTCACCTCGTAAAGGGTAGGGTTGAGAAAGCTTCGGGAAAGGTTGCGGCGTTTGGGAATTTTGAGTTTGGAGGAAGAGGCGACATGATAGAAGTTTTGAGTGGCACGGAGAAAACAGATGGCCTGGAGGCATTGATGCTTTGGAGGACCAGTTTCTTGCTGGAAACCACAGGAGGGGAGAGCGTTGCTCTTGTGCTCGAATCCTGCTTCCCATAAGGGGCATCTGTTTGGCCACTGTGAGGACAGGAGGCTGGACTAGATGGCCCCACTCTGGCCTGATCCAGCAGGCTCTTCTTATGTTCGTTTCTTTGGGAGGAAAAAAGGCTCAAGAGTAAAACCTACACAAATCCAGGGTGGAGTCCCTAAGGCAGTTGGACGGTGCCTGGTACACCTCCTTGCGGCAACTCCTGTAGCCAGTCTGGTGCCCAATGTCTTGTTCTGCTTTCCTTTGGACCACACCAGTGAGGCTGAAAGGGGTCTAGCCATCAGGGCAGCCGAGGACCTCCAGAACTGCTTCTAACGCAGCAGTTTGACTTCACACACACACACACACACACACACACACACGCACGCCCCGAGGCGAACTCCACCGTCTCTCAAGATAGACAGGTGCCAACAGCAATGCAGGTGGTGTTGAAATCTTGCCAAACTCTAGGGGTGGGTTTCACAACTGGCCTCAGGCATTCTGGCTGATGAACTTCCCCCCATCATCCCTGCCCCAGATTCTCCAGCATCAGTTCCTCAGTCGAATAAGGATAACTGAGCAAACTTTCACCAGGAGCGGAGAGAGATTGCAGAGCAGCCACTCGGTGGCTTCAGGGCATCGCCAGGCAATGGGGGCACAGTCTCACGTGCTCTATCGACCTACAGGGGCTGTTGCGCCACGTCTCTCACCCAGGGAACAAAGGTCACCTCAAACCCCCCCTTCCCCCCGCAGAACTGCCCTCTGCTCTGTGGACAAAGTCTGCTGGCAGACCGGTGCCCAGGGACACACGCAGACGCAGGCATTGATGGAGAGCGACCAATCTTTCCAGGTCAAAGATCCCAGCGTGCACTGGGGGAGGGGAGGGTGCAGAGGTGCCTGGGTTGAAGCTGCTGTCACAGGAGCCGTTGTGGGTCCTTCTCCTGTCTGAGAAGGGCCCTTTGAGGCTGCTGGATGTAGGGGGCCAAGTGTGGGAGTCCCGGGGGTCCCGTTGTCCACTGTCTGCAGTGCACAATCCCCGGCTAGGCAGCCCCTCTGCCTCCTTTGTGCTGCTTTTCAGGAGAGAGATGTGGTGCAGCCGATCAAGGGAAGCTATTGATCAGTCCCGGTGGCTGTATTTCAGTCACACACTGCTGTTTCCAGAGCCTCCTGCCCTAGATCGGGGTCTGATGTTCCCTAAGTGGGAGAACATTTCAATTTCTGAAAGAGACTTCAGAGGTTTAGCTTGGGGAAGCAGGGGCTCCTGACTAGGACATCCGAGAGGCCGCAGGACTTCCCATGGTTAACCCTCTTTCTCTCTAACTAACCGGGGCAGCAGCCTGACAAGTGTGCAGACCAGGATTTGCATCGTCCTACCAAAGTGGACCCTCAGCCCCAGGAAAAGTGGCTAGATTGAGTTTGGGAGGCGCTGTTACTCTGGCAGAATACCTGCTTTGCGCACGGAACGTCCCCAACTGAACCTCTGGCAGCGTTTCCAGGCAGGACTGAGAGAGGTGCCCGCCTGAGACCCTGGACTGGAGAGTCACTGCTGACCAGTGCAGAGGATACTGAGCTGCAGACGGACCCAGTGGTCTGACTCATTATGAGTCAGCTTCTAATACTGCATCTGCATTCAGACGTGAACCCAGAGCCTGGGAAAGGAGACGTGTATTTGTCCCCTGCAGCTAAATTGGAGTTTAGTGCTGGTGGTGGTAGAGAAATCACCAGAACCCAACCCCACAAGCATGCGCTGCAGATTCTTAACTCCTCTGCTGTAAATTTCAGGCCTTGCTGGGGCTCAAAACTGCTTGGCCCCAGGACAGAACACTTGTGCAGCGGCTCCAACAAAAGGGAGAGAAACAGCTTCCCCTGTCCGATAGATTTGGAGTGGGTTTCGGAAACGGTTCTTTGCCGAGCCCTGAACTGCATCAGGCAGCCTTGTGTCCCCTCTGTGATTCCACTTTCACCTTGATGCACCCTGGCCAGGGATTTCCTCCTTTTGTCCTTCGCCCCACCAGGTCCCTGTTCTATATTTAAACCCTCTGGAGCTCCTGCCAGCTTCCCACATGCTGTGATTCAGAGCAGCCTCACAGTGGAGGCTTGGTGGGAGGTGGGGAGTGTTCCTCTCTCTCTCTCTTTCCCCGAACCACTTCAGGAGCTTCCGGCAAAGGGCCTGAATGCTGGTCTCAGCTGTCCCGGGCCAATTTTCCATGCATCAGCCACTTAGCTCGCCCCTGTCTGCTCTGGTGGCATCACAGAAGCTCTGCTCTCATAGTACCATAGAGCTGGAAGGGACCCCAACGGTCATCTAGCCCAACCCCCTGCAATGCAGAGAGCTTTTGCCCAGTGTGGGGCTGGAGCCCACAACCCTGAGATTAAGAGTCTCACGGTCTAATGCAGGGGTCTGCAACCTTTAAGACAAAAAGAGCCACTTGGACCCGTTTCCGAAGAAAAAACAACAACTGGGAGCCGCAAAACCATTGCGACATTTAAAACAAATATATCTCCGGAGCCGCGATCTGACAGCGGGTGGGACGGTGACGTCGGGACAGTGCGTGACTAACGCACGCACCGCCCCCATGCGACGTCACAGCCAGTACAGCGCCCGCCACAGTGAGGAGTGTCGGGGCGCACAATGCGCCTCCTCCCCTCGCTAGTATCCGTCCCGGAGCCGCGGCAAAGATGTAAAAGAGCCACATGCGGCTCCGGAGCCACAGGTTGCAGACCCCTGGTCTAATGACTAAGCTACCCCAACCCCAGGGAGCAAGCCTGGCCTGGGCAAAAAATGGCTGCCAGCTGCTGCCTTCCCAAGTCTTCTTATCTCCCCAGCATCTGGGAAAAGGGGAATTCCTGCATCGCAGGGGGTTGGAATAGATGATTCCAGCTCTGTGATTCTATGAGGGGCAACCTGGAAGGTCTGCTGGAGATGTGAGGGGCGAGAGCCTCAGAACAGCCTTGGCAGGTTTGGCTCATGGCCTGTGTTGGCTGCCTTCGTTCTCCCAGAGGCCTGAGCTGGGACTGGGGAGGTAGAGTGATGGCAGAGGGACAGCGAAAGCTGCCTTGCATCCAGCCCAGCCAGGGGCGCCTCTGCTTCCTCATTCTTCGGGCTCTGCATTTCCCAATCCCAAGGTGCAATGCAGCGACTGCTTTTGCTCTAGATTCACGCAGGTGCGACTCTTAACTTCACCGCCTCTTTCCTGTCCTCTTCTTCCTTACCTCTCAAGCAAAGTTTGCCCAGCAGTCACTTTCCCTTCCTTCTTCTCCTCATGCAAATGGCGCTGCTCAGCCAGCTTGCCCCAGGACTACTCTGGAGGGGCCACCATGAGGCTTGCAGCAGAAGTCAAGGCCAGCTGGGCAGTGTGTGGCCAGGCAGTGTTTTGCCGCTGTTTTGCCGCTGCCTTGGAGTCCCCCAGAGGGGAACACAGTTCAGCTCATGAAGGCAGGAGATAATGAATAATAATAATAATAATTTATTTGTACCCCGCCCTGGCTGGCTGCCATAAGAACACATAAGAGCCTGCTGGGTCCAAAGAGAGATTGGCCAGTCCAGCCTCCTGTCCTCACAAGGCCAACCAGATGCAAGCTGGAGCTGAGCACAAGAGCACCCCCCTCCCGGCATTCAGAAGCATGGCTGCCTCTGATCTTGGAGCGCAGCCATCATGGCTTGTGGCCATGGACTGCCTTCTCCTTCTCATTTTGTCTAATCCTCTTTTAAAGCCGTGTATGTGACTGCCTCTTGTGGGAGTGAGTTCCACTGGCTCCTGAACTGAGCCAAGAAGGAGCAAAAGCCTAGTAGAGACCACCATGGCTATATGGTGGGGGAAGAAAGGGACTCTGCACAAGTTTTTTTGGGGGGGCGGGGGATTACTCTTCATATGATCTCAAATTATATACTGTTTTCACTCAGCATAGTGTTATCAGAGCCCTGGACCCTGTCTGCTAACAGCAAGGTCTGGTTCTCTAGGTGAGAGCTGGACATTTTCACACTTGCAAAGTGTTTTGGAGCGACAAGCCCCTTGTGAAGGATTTGCAATGCTGGCTGTGGGCAGAGGGTGAGCCCTGCCGCCTCGCCTGCAGTCAGGGCTCCCTGCAGGCTACTGTTTGGACTCTGAGATGCAAATGATCCCTTGCCAGGAAACCAGTTCCCCTTGGGGCAGCTGGGGGGGGGTGAAGGAGGAGGCTCCTGAGGAAGGATCTGAGAGCAGGAGGCCACCTCCTCCCTCCCTCTCTGCTCATTTCTCAGACAAGCCCCACCAGCAAAGAAAACCCACTTTCGGAAATTTAGCCGCTCAAACCAGAGAAGGATGAGATGGGGGGATAAACTGGGTGCTGTGGGGGTGGTACAATGCTTCTGCTTCCCCCCGCCCAGTTTAATACAGAAACTGCAGGCCCTGTTGCTGCCCTTTGCCCTGCCTGTTTTCTCTCCCCACTACCAACAACTGAAGTCCAGCATTGCAGTGACCTTAATTTCTCCCAGCACTTGTCGGGGAGATGTTGTGTGGGGAGGTGGAGAAAGAAAGGAAGAGGGAAAGCGTCTTTTCTGTCCAAAAGAACAGGGAGAGGCAGAGCTCCCCCCCAAAACATTTCCATCCTGCAGAGTGACCCCACCACCACCACCCTGGGAGCCGGCCTTTGGAGGCAGCAGCTGAAGTTTCCACTGGGGCTATTTTTGCTGCTGCTGCTGCTTCTTCCCCACGTCCGCACACATTAAAAAACAAACAAAGCAAAACTATTTTTGCGCCCTTAAACTCAACACAGCTTCACGTGCAGATGGAATATATTTAGGGATGAGCGGAACATTTTCTGAAGTTGCTCTGAGCCTGGGAATCGGGCAGGTGCCGGAATCAGGCAGATCCCCTGCTCTGGAGAGGCTGGGGCAGGTGGGGCATGGCCCCTAGGTCAGGAGAGGCTTCTGAAATCATCTATGCAGCCACCACTGCTGCTGCTGCTGCTGTTACTTGTCTTGCAAGAGTGCAGAGACTGGGGTAAAGTACAAAAATTAGATGCACTCGATAGCCCGCTAAGCACCCAAGCGAGTTGTTGCCAGCCAGGCCACCTCCATAAGAAGAGCCTGCTGGATCGGGCGAATGGCCCATCCTGCTCTCACAGGGCCCCCCCCCCCAGATGCCCCAGTGGGAAACCAGCAAGAGCCACTCTCCCCTCCTGTGGTTTCCAGCACCTCCTCTTTGGAAGCCTTGCTGCCTCTGACTGTGGAAGCAAAACATAGCCCTCATAGCTAGTCGCCCTCTCTTCCCTGTTCTCTAATCCTCCTTTAAAGCCACCCAACTTGGAGGCCATCACTTCCTCCTGGGGGAGCGAGTTCAAGACCTTAGACTCTAAACTTCCATAAGCAGGTTGGCTGAGAACTTGGGACCCCTGAGATTCTGGCTCCTGGTAGGAGCTGGGCCAGGGAAGACCTGAAGCAGAACCAAGAGGTGCCAGCCTTCGTACCTGGCCAGGAGGCTGCCGCCGCTCCTTCCCTGGCCACCCTAAGGATCCTGGCCCCCCAAGTCTTCCCTCCCACTTTCTCTCCCGAGGGAACTCAGCTGCTTCCCAGACAGCACCTCCCACCCCCTGACTGATACAGGATTGCTGCCTGACACCTCTCCCAGCAGGTAGAAGAATGGAAAACTACCCCTGCAGGACTTTGAATTTGCCTGTAGGAAAAATAAACCCCGCGGCCCACAATCTCTGGCCTTTCAAGTTGCACCTGCACAGCTCCCCCAAGATCCTGTTTGCCAGGTCCAAAAAACAGCATGGAGTTATCTGCAAGGGACACCTAATTTGGTTCAAGTCACATCTTCCTTTTATTTCAAGCTTCTCCGTTCCCCCTCCCCACCCCAGAGTTAAATCCAGTGTGAGTGCTAGACGCAGCGAGTGTTTTCCAGTTTTCAGCAGTGCGTGGCATCCCTTGCGCCTCGCCCAGAAGCCATGCAAATGAGCCGGTGCGCCTCAGTCCCCTTTCCTGGCCTTGCTCCGCTGGTGGCTGGCGTAAGCCCTGAGCCCGAACCAGCCCACGATGCTGGCGAGCAGAGTCAACAGCAGCAGCATCACGCCAAAGGTGGAGAGAAAAGTGGGAGCCCTGGGCAGGAGAGGCAGCCCGGCGCCCAGCTCACGGATCTCCCCTCGGATCATGTGCAGCTCGTCCAGGATGCTCATGAAGGTGCAGCAGTGGAACCACTGGTGGCTGTGGCCCCAGATGTCGAACTTCCCCGGGCTGAAGCGCTCGGGGATCTTGCTGACGTTGAAGATCCCGGAGGCCAGGAGCCAGAAGCAGTGGCGCAGGAAGAAGCGGCCTGTCCCATGCCCGCCGGCGGCGCCGCCCCCACCCCACCACAGCTTGCGGAAGACGGGGATGGAGACCACCCCAAAGGGCAGCAGGAAGACGAGTGTGCGGATGAGGTAGCGGTAGCGAGGCCACTGGTGGCGGGTGCTGCAGCAGGCCAGGGTGCAGAAGAGAGCGATCAGGCAAGCGCTGGGCACGTAGAGGGCCTCAAACCACGTGCCCACCTGGCCCGCCAGGGCAGAGAGCCAGCCAGCACCCTCCCAGCTGGGCCAGGCACTCGGAGAGGAGACGTTGTTGCCGGTGCCCGGTAACGGTGGTGGTGGAGATCCTCCGCCTCCCCTGGGGTGGATGTAGTAGAAGTAGGCCAAGGAGGAGCCCACCGTGTAGGCGCTGATGGTGCCGTAGTCGATGTAGAAGCAGATCTCGCGGATGACCAGCGACATGGAGTTGAAGAGGTGCGCCATGCTGCTCGCCACCAGCAGGCCACAGACCCCCAGGAAGTAGCTCCAGAGCGGGTAGTAGAAGGGGTCCAGCGGGCCTGCGGGCACCATGGGGCCCTCGCCCCAGAACTGCTCCAGGAAGTGGAAGGCGAAGACAAAGACGGCCAGGAAGTGCGTCCAGAAGTTGCCTGTCTCGTTGGTGGGCCGGAAGGCCGAGACCAGGCACTGGGCAAAGGTGTAGCCTGGGCAGCGGTAGCCGCTCAGGATGAAGCTCTCCGTCATGCTGGGGGGCACTTCGCTCCAGCGCAGGAGCAGGCCCCCTCCCTTGCCGGGGGCAAGGGGCATCTGGGCCTCCCTGCCCATGGGTGCCCCTGCTGACCTTGTCCCTCCGCTGCAGCTATAGGGGGCTGGAGTGGGGAGTCAGCTCTGGCTTCTCTGGCCGCGGAAGGAGACACTGCAGAAGGGGGTTCGCTCAGCGGAGCACCCAGCCCCGCGCCTCCCGGGCTGTCACTCCAGACTCCCGCCACCCTCGGCGATGCTGGGTGCGGGGAGCAAGACGAGAGGGAGAGCGCAGATTGCAAAGGCGGAGCTGCTGCCTTTGGCTGGGGAGGGGGGCGGCGAGGATGCGGCTGCTTTAGCGGTTGCCATGGAGAGCCTGCCTCCGCTCCGCCATCTGCCCCAGTGGAGTGGGGGGGTGCTTGGGAGGGGGAGCCACAGAATGACTGCGGAGGGTGGGCTTAAAATGTGCAGAGACTGCAGAGATGCATTTGCAGAGGGCGCTTTGGCAGGCGTCCCCTCCGTCTGCTAGAGCGCAACGATGTCCTACATAAAAATACCTGCTAAAATCACCGGGGGGCGGGGGGTGCGCAGGTGCGGCCTCTTCTTCCAAGCCTCCCTCTTCCACCGGGGTAAATCTGCAACCGGGAGCTGGCCTGCGGGCGCCGCCGCGTCTTGCTGCCGGAGGCGCGCCGTGCGCCGGAGCCGGCGACGCGGCGGGTCGCTGGGCGTCGTGGGCTGGCGCGGGCGCCCTTGCCGGGATCCGCAGGAGGGCGCGCGGCCAAGGCGCTGCTTTTATCTCCGGCCCGCCCCGCCCGCCCGGCCTCCCGCCGCCCCAGGCCCGGGTCCAAGCCCCGCCCCGGCCCGCATCCGCGCAGGCGAGGCGCAAGGCGGCAGGTGCCGTCTCCGCCAGCCGCCGTGCGCCCTGCTGCCCCAAGTCGCTGGGCGCCCCTCTCGCCCTCTGGGTTTGTCCTCCACCAACCCACGGAGGAAGAAAAGGCACGGAGCAAACGGCGGGGGGCGAGTCCCGGTCCCAAAGTGGCGGAGGGCAGGGCAGCTGTTTGGGGCGAGGTTAACGGATAATAATAGACTGTGGTTTGTGGGTTCCAGCCCCATATTGGGTGAATTCTTCCTGCATTGCAGGGTTGGACTAAATGACCCCTTGCTCCCTTCCGACTCTCTCATTCTAACCTGGATTTGAAACTTCTGCAAGGTCCACCGAAGGGGGAACTTTTTAAAAGAAATTACCAATATCCCCAGCAGGAACAACGGAGCCCCGAGCCAGCCTGGCCTCCTGCGCGCAAGGAGCTCAAGGCGCGCATCTCTCCCTGGGTGTGACCTGGGGGGGGCGGTCCCTGCCTTCTCTCAGCCCCCCGTACCTGCCTCGCGGGGCTGTTGCGAGGGTTGCATGGGGAGCGAGGAGAACCAGGCACGTCGCCACCTGGAGCTTGGGGGGAAAGGAGGGATATCCGAGCCACAAGCAAGATGGGCGGAAGTGGGGCCGGGTTAGGGCTGCAGCGTGGAGGCCCCAGAGAGCTCCGTGGGTCCCCGTGATGCGCGGGAAGGGTGAGAGCCTCCGCAGCCTCAATGGGGCAAGAAGAGGGCAGAAGCCATGGGCGGCAAGGACCTCCCCACATCCTCCTCCTGAGCTGCATCTTCGGTGCAGACCGAGAGAAAGAGGCGGAGGGCGAGGCGCTGCCCCACTCGCCAGGCAGAGACGGTGCGCTCAGGGTGGAAGCGCCTCCGGGTCTTGGGAAAGCTCTCCCCACCTCTGTTCGTGGGGTTCAGTGCGAGAGCATTGGCCCCTCTCGTACCAGGACACATGCCTTTCCCAGAGTCAATAAGCCGGCCCACGTCCTCGTGCCTCCGCTGGGAACCCCACGGCTACGCCTTTCTCAGATGCCTTTGCCACCCTCGGGCAACCGAGGAACCGCCATGGATAGTACGAGCCAAGGAAACGCGCAAGAAGAGCCCCAGTGGCAGCAGCTGGGTCAGGCCCATAGAATGGCAGTCAGGATCATCTAGGGAATCCTCCGGTTCTCACGGCGGCCGACCAGGTGCTTCCACAGCTTGTGGGCTGCCCTGAAGTGCAACGGTGACGGGCCCTGGCTTAGACGGGCATTTGAAAGGGCATCGCGGTGCCAGTCCCACGAGGAGGTGAGGTCTCTGTGTGGAACCAGGCAGAGGGCCTTCTCGGTGGTGGCACCCGAATGCCCTCCTACCATATGTCAAGGAAATAAACAACTGTCTGACTTTTAGAAGACATCTGAAGGCAGCCCTGTTTAGGGAAGCTTTTCATATTTGATGAATTATTGTACTGTAATATTTTGCTGGAAGCCGTTCAGAGTGGCTGGGGGAATATTATTATTATTATTATTATTATTATTATTATTATTATTATTATTATTATTATTATCTCTACCCTCGCTAGACTTCTTTCTAGCGGTCACTGTGGGAACTGGATGCTGGACTAAATGCCCCCCTCCACTTCGATCCGATCTAGCCCCCCTTGATGTGGGGCCGCGGGGATATCAGCCTGGCCTGCCCCACCGCGTCTCTCCTGCCCATCTCCTCCTGGCTATTTTTAGGCACATCTCCCACGGAGGACTTCGGGTCCCGGCGCAAGGAAGGGACGGCCCGACCTTGCAGACGGACGGGGCCACCTGCTCCTCCCAGGCCTGGCTCGGGGCCCGGCTTGGGGGTCGCTCGGGGACAGGCGCTGAGACGCGGGGGGGCGGCGAGAGGGGAAGGCCAGGCGCTTTCTCTGCAACGAAACCTCCCTTTCCCCCGCAGTCCCGCTTGCGGACACAAGGCGGCGCCCAGGACCCACTTTGCAAATAGGCCCCACCTGAGAAGACCTAAATTGGAAGGCAGGTGATGACGATGGAGAGCTGGAAGCGGCAGGGGCGGGGAGGAAGAGGAGGAGCCAGGACGCCTGGGTTCCCTCATCAAGATGGGGTGTGTAGTCCCAGTAGATTAGAACAGGTATAATTATAGTAGAGTTGGAAGGGACCACGAGGGTCATCTAGTCCAACCCCCTGCCATGCAGGACCCTTTGGCCCAACGTGGGGCTCGAACCCACAACCCTGGGATTAGGAGTCTTGTGCTTTACCGACTGAGCTGTCCTGGAACTGGAATAGCGTAGGGCTGGAGCTGTGGTCAGAGTATTGGCCTGGGAGAGAGGTCAGGGTCCAGCACCCGCCTCAACTTCTCCACAGAGCTCATTGGGTGTGACCTTGAAGGCCTGTCACAATGCCTCTCAGCCTCACCTACCTCGCAGGGTCGTTGTGGAGAGGGAGAAGGACCTTGAGATCTTTGGGGGGGGAAGGTGGGAGATCAGGGAGGCAACAGTGGTCGCTGGGTGGGTATCCATGCTTTGTGATGCAGCAGCAAAAAAAGCTAATGCTATTCTAGGCGGCCTCAGCAGAAGTGTCCGATGAAGAGAAGTTGCAGTACCGCTCTATTCTGCCTCCGTCAGACTATTCTTGGAATCCTGCGTCCCGTTCTGGGCACCCCAGTTTAAGGAGGAGATTGACAAGCCGGAAATCGTGCAGAGGAAGGCGGCCAGGATGATCAGGGCCTGGAAACCAAGCCCTGTGAAGAACAGTTGAGGGAACTGGGTGTGTTTAGCCTGGGAAAGAGGAGGAGATATGAGAGCCACCTTCAAATATCCAAAGGGGTGTCCCGTGGAAGATGGAGCAGGCTTCTTTTCGGCTGCTCTAGAGCGCAGGACCCGAAGCCACGGCTTCACACTGCAGGAAGGGAGATTCCGACTAAACATCAGGAAGAACTTTGACAGTGGAAAGATGGCGGACTTGCCTTTCCTGGTGGCTTTGAAGCAGAGGCCGAATGGCCACTTGTCAGGGGTTCTGGCGCTGTGACTCCTGCACTGCAGGAAACCCTTGGGTCTCTTCCAACTCCAAAATCTCTAAATTCTTGCCTCATGCTTCCCCCACGGGAGGAGCAGCTGCTTTAGAAGGTGCTTTGTAGTCAGACCATTGGTCTATTCATCTCAGTATTGTCCACACCAGCTGGCAGCAGCAGCAGCAGCTCTCTGCAATGTTCCTTTTAGGCAGGGAGTCTCTCTCCACCTGCTCTACCCACTGAGCTACACCTCTTCCCCTCATTTCGCAGCGGCAACCCAGAAGCGCTTGCAACTTGCAAGGCGCAGAGCAGGCCAGGCTGGGAGCCAGGCGGCCTGCTTCCTCTGCAAGGCTTGGAGACGGGCCAAGAGGTTTTGGCAGCCAGGAGGAGACGTCTTGCACAGGCCTGGCTTGGGGTCCTGGCTCCAAACCCCGTCTCGAGGGTGCTCTCTCCCCCTTTGCCTGCGCCCCATCTCTGCCGCCTTCCTCCCCACCCCCAGCTCCCCTCCCAGGGGGACTTGGCCGCCCTCGCAACTCAAGTGATGTGGCAGAGCTTTGCGGTTTCCCCTTGGCGTGCTCTGCGCCCGCGTGGGTGGAAACTTAATCTGCTCTTTCCTCTGGAAAGCAGAAGTCGCCAGCAGCTGCTGTTTGCAAGGTGGAGGGGCTTCTCGTTGCCCCGTCTCTCCTTGCCCAAAGAGCAGCTTTTGCCCCCTCCAGATGTTGGGAGTTTGGGACTCCCATCGAGGGCTTTGCACCTTTGCATCTGTCACACCTCACACAGGGCAGAGGACTGGACAAATTCACGGAGGAGGAGGCTAACAATGGCTTCTAGCCCCGATGGCTGAGCCCTGCTCCCACAGCTGGAGGCAGAGATGTTTCTGAACGCCAGTAGCTGGTAACAGCAGGAGGGGGGAGAGCGGCTCTTGCGTTCAAATCCTGCTTGCAGGCTTCCCATGAAGGGCATCTGGTTGGCCCCTGTGCAAACAGGATGCTGGGCTCCCTTTGGGCAGCCTGGCTCTTCTGATTCCCTCATGCCTTTCCCCTGGAGCTATTACTTCACAGTGGGGAGCTCCCATTGCTCGGTCCCTGCTCCTGCCAACCTAGCAGTTCAAAAGCACACCAGTGCAAGTAGATAAATAGGTACCGCTCCGGCGGGAAGGTCAACAGCGTTTCCGTGCGCTGCTCTGGTTCGCCAGAAGTGGCTTAGTCATGCTGGCCACATGA